TTCATTTTTTTAAAAGCCGGCCTAATCACCCGTTTTTTTTTTTGGTTTTTTTAACTTGGGAATGTTTGATATTTACTAATCAATTCAGCAAAGGACTTGTTCAGTTAAGGAAACCCAAGGGATTCAGGAGAGATGAAGGGCATCCCGATTTTCATTCCAATAACTCTCTAATTTACTGAAATAACAAACCACATGTTTGATTGATCACAGCTAGATTGCATGTCGAGCTTTAGAAATCGATTATGGAGAGGTTACATATAAAATCTGTTGGATTGAGGCTTACCAGGGTTGGTATACCCCTGCTCTGCAGTTACTGTAATTGTGTATGAGAGATAAAAAACTGAAAAAAATTCTGCTGAATTCTACCTCTGTGATACCCTGACAAAACAAGCGGTCTTATAATGAGTTCTTATTTTTTCAGGGATAACACAACTGTCCCCAGTCTTGCTGAAGAAGACAGAAGACAGAACTCTGGGTATTATAAAGCTGGGCATTGCTGTGGTATCAGATACAGTATGACTTTAAAAGCCCATGAGCAACACACTGAAAAAGCAAGTTATCACTTGAGAGATCTTGCATAATATCTCAGACATTCAAAGATCGAAAGATGAATTCATGCAGAGGACATCCTGGGTAAACTATCACACAATACGAAGGTTCTTATGAGAAACATAAATCCAGAGAAAACTGAATTACTACACTAACCAAGCTCGATCTCCAGTTTCAACTTAGCTTTAGGATCTAAAGATAAAAAAGTACAATATGCATTACAACACTGAACTTAAAGATGTTTTATAAAAGGAGTAGCTAAGGAAATAGTGATAAGTTGAAAAAAACACAAGAAAGAATGTTGGTAATTTGACCATTTTGTTGAATTACCAAACACCAGTAGATTCAAATGACCACTGCCAATCATTATTTGGACAAAGACATGAAATACAAATGGCATAGATACCCATTTTAAATTATGGGTTTTATCTGTTTATTACAGAACCTTTATTAAACACCAATAAAAAAAACTACAATAAACTGGACTATATATGTAGCAGAACTATGCTAGAAATCAAATGTAGGCTTTAAGACAACACCTTACTTATCACTGCAGTAGAAACTGCAACATTAACTGTCACATTTTCACTGCCTTTATAAATGCATACTTTACAACAGCAGAAACCTCAAATGTAAAGCCATAGCTGCTTTGAAAATATTACTTTAACCTCCTTTAAAGAAAATAAAACAGCACAATAGTCTACATTTCTACAATTATGTTTCTGTTTGGTATTGGCATGTTTTAAATAACACAACCCATTATGATTTTCACCTCATCGTATCAAAGACCTCGCCTTTTCAGGTTGATACCCAGAGGTAAACAAGACACTGTTTGATGGGGTTTGTTGGACTAATTCCTAGTTATCCAAAATGCAACAAATGATAGCTCCTATGCAGTCATGTGTACATGTAAAATTTCTATTTGGAGGAAGAAGCATCACCATAGTAGTAACGCTTCAAATAAGTGACTCAGCTAAAAGGCCTAAATCCCTCTCAATTGGTGTATCACCATTTAAATATTTTTTTAATTAAATCAACCAAATCGGATTTAATATTGCGCTCTAGAAACAATATGTGTGCGTGTGTGTTTTTGGCTAATGCTAAACCTATTTTGTGGAATCTGAGCTCCACTTAGTTTGCGATACAATACAATTACGGGCGAACACCGCCCTCTAGTGGCTCAATGAGCTTGTCATTCTTCGCATATCGCCGTCAACGGGTTCAGAAAAATTAAAACGATGGAAAGCTGCGACCTCTGTTGGCAATCTTAAATAGCATTATTGGAAATTAAATGGTTTGATGTTTTATTTTTTCTAAAAAACTTTCACGTTTCAAATTTGAATGAACTTACATTTAGAATACTAAAATATAACAATGTTTACAGAGATTTGTGCATTTCTTTTGAACTTGAACTTGAACTTTATTGCCATATGTAACCGGTACTGGTACAATGGAATTCTTACTTACAGAAAGTCTCTCGATTGTAAAACAAGTGTAAAAAATAAAACAAAGTGCAAACAGTGCATCAAGACAATGTACAAACAAACAATAGACAATGTGCAAGTAAACATGTAGACAGTTTGAATGTAAACAATGACTGGAGATGTGCAATAGATAAGAAATCATAAAGAGGTAGATGGTGATGGTGTAGGTGTGGTCCGAGGGGGATGGCTAAATGTGTTCGCCAGTCTCACTGCTTGTGGATAGAAGCTATTGAAGAATCTGGTGGTAAGTGTCCGTATGCTCTTATATCTCTTGCCTGAGGGCAGTGGGGTGAAGAGTGGACTTTTCTTTTGTCTTTTGTCTTTTGGACACTATCTTTTGTCTGATAGTGAAGCTTAAATACCCAGTTACTGTACAACATCCATCCGTTTTCTAAACACTTTATCCAGTACAGGATCATGGGGGAGCTGGAGCCTATCCTGGAAAACTGCAGGTGCTCAGCGGGATACATCCTGGACAGGAGAACAGTCCATTGCAGGGCACACACACACTTGCACCTCCTTTAATTTTTCCACCTGGAGGAAACCCCCTCGAACAGGGGGAAGAACATCATTGAACATAAACCACACACCACATTCACTGCAATGTTGGTAAAACAAAAACTGGTTTAACAGACATTAAGCAAAGTTAAACATCCTTTATTGACAGTATTAGCCTTCTCTCACACAATGCTTCAGGTCCAACAGGTTTCACAAACCCGTCTTGACTGTCATTCAAAGAGGAGGAACACTGTTCATTGTGTTAGTAAATATTTAACTAAGCAGTTAGTAGCAAAGGGTATAATATAATGTGGGTGCTAAGGAGGAGCAGGCAAATACCTACAACGGTTTGCTTTCATCAGCAAGACCAGCTGAACATGCATTATTGTAGTGGAGCTAGTTTGGGCACAGTGATGTCATCGCCCTCCCTGCATGTAGCAGGGACCTCAGCCGCCTGGGTTGAGGGAGGTCGCCTTTAGCTCATGCAGCTGGTTCCATGATGCATTACGCCAGAGACCCGGGTTTGTGCCCTGGTGTTGTGGGATGAACCAGCGGGGTGGGGCGGCGAGGGCTCCAACCTGCGCAGAACCACGATGGTCACACTATCAAAGATGTTTGGTCATGCAGAACAGAAACACCTGACAACACAGAAAGAAGCAGGTGTAGCACACTGAGATTTGCTGTAATGTGCTATATAAATTCAATGCATTATTATTGTAACGCTACGGGGTTCACATGGGCGCCATCGCCGCATCAGGTCGGCCCCCCACCGTCGGGGACTCGAACCCAGGACTTAACAGGGACTCGGCTTGGTGAGCTAAAGAGAGATCTCTCCACAGCCTAGTGGCTGTGGTCCTGCTATTACAGGGAAGGGCGGTGACATCACCGCTCTGGTAAGCCGGCTCTTACACAGTGCCTGTCGGCCGTATGCATTACACTCTCCCCCGCTTAACTCGCCATTTATTATTAGGTGTGGATCACATTTACAGCTGGCCTATCAATTCAAATAAGTTCGGACTTTGATTTGCTGAGTTCCTTAACTTGTAGAGTGCACTGGCAGCAAAGTTATTAAGATGTATATATCTATACAATCATTAGTGTACAAAACATATATGATGCAGAGAACAAGACACAGCCCTGTGGTGATCCAATAAAGATGCAACATACTGTACATTAGATGACCATTTCTCCACTTTCACCTGCCAAGACCTGTTTGTTCAAAAAACTAAAACCATCTAATTGGGTTCCCATTAAATTCAAAATTCTTTGTGAGTTTCTGTGCCATTTTATGAATGGTTTAAGAGGAAAAATCAACAAAAGTCCACCACCTGACTTTACCTTGTGAAAGATGTAAATCCTTGCTTAATAAAGTGAGCACTTCATCACCTCCACCCCTCAATAACCTGTGTGCAAACTACAGGGGATCAATAAGGTCCTTAATAATGCGTCTCTTCATTACGCTCCCCAGAGTTTTTATACAGAGGCAGAGCCACTGGCCGGTATTTGTTAAGCTCATTTGGCAAGGTATTTTGGGGGATTGGGAAAAATTTCTTCCACAGAGAGGGAATGAATCACATTTCTAAAAGACGTCTGAAAAACTAGATAAAATACCCTAGATTTGATCCGCTGAATCTGAAGAATGCTGCCACACACATTATCTCAGCCTGTATTCTTTCTTTCATTGATCCTCCTAAACCGTACACCTTCGCTATGTCAGTTTTAACAAACTCCTTAGGATCAGAAAAGTGAGCACTGTTACAGGTATGTAAAACAATATCCAGGTATTTTGCCAGTAGTTGGCCGTCCATGTTGTCTAACACAGGTAAACGACTGTGGATTTAATGCTTTTCCAAGCAACTCTGATATCACTGTTTTTCCCTGTAAAAAATTGTGAACTTTGTGAATGTACTGCAAGTCTCCATGTTGTCTCAAACTGGCATTCGAGTTCCCAGGAACTGGCTTACCTTCCCCATTCTCCCCCTTTTACCTTTTTCTGCACTGCCCTCCTCAACTCTGGGAATTGTAACCGCTTTCCTTTAAAACGCCTCAGGTTTCTTGAGTCAAGAGAGAGGAATCTCTTGTTTATTTTCAAAACAGGGTGGAGTGGTGGCTCTGTGGCTAAGGCTCTGTGCCTGTGGCTGGAAGGTTGCTGGTTCAAATCCTGCAGCTGGCAGAGGAATCCTACCCTGAGCAAGGCCCTTCGCCCCAACTGCTCTAAGGGACCCTGCACTCTGACCCCAGGCTCTCTCTGTATCTGTGTGTCTCATGGAGAGCAAGCTGTGGTAAGCAAAAGGATGAATTCCTAATGCAAGAAGTTGTATAGGGCTAATAAAGTGATGTTAAGGTTTATCATCAACTGCAGTTGTTGTTGATGCTGCCACTTTTGTTTAAATGTAGACCACTTACAAATCTACAGCTCCCGATTTGTCTTTAGTAGATTTTGTTCTAGCGATAAAAACAAATTGCTGGTGCAACACAAAACCCCCAAGTTTATTCATTTAATCTGTTTTGAGGTTTCTGATGACCACACTCTTTTGTGGCCCAAAATGGACTGTATAGTGTAGCTTAGGGCACCAACCTGGTTATCTAAAGCAAAAGAAAAACATGGCTGCTTTTCACATTCTTTCATATCTCACTAGTACAATAGGTTTATACATTTTCATGTACTAGTTTGAATACCAATGACTGAAAGAACTGAATTTGCAGCAGTCCTATTTTTCAAAGAAAGACTACAATCAAGCCCCCCCGTCTGATCTAGACCTTTTAAAAAAATATGTCATTCTCTGTAATCTCAAAACCTCAAACAAACGTATTCATAATTTAATCTGAAATAACTGGTGATCAATGCAATCATAATCAAACCATTTAACATGTACTGTACAGCATTGTGAAACTGAACAAGATAAAAAAAGCACAAAATATCAGCATCTTATTTCATGTGTACACGTTTTTTAGATTCATATTTCATTTCAGATTTCTTTTTATAAAGGAGATACAAAATAGAACACAACATGAGAAAACAATCAAAATACATTAAAATACATCCGTTTTTTTAGAGCTAAAACACCTCAGAATTAAAAACAGAAAACAGTAGTGTTAATATAAAATGCTATTTTGCCAAAGCACCCACGCTTAGCTGCTAATCCTTTCTTTGAACAAGTCTTAATTTTTTAATTTAATCCTTTAATTAAACAGATAAATCAACTGAGGAAAAATTCTCATTCACCATGACAACCTGGGAAGCAGCCATTTATACAGCAGGGCATTCGCTGGAGAGGTCTGAGTGATGGACCTGTACCATGATCATGGGTACAAGAGCAGCTTCCTACATGGGATTTGAACCCACAACCCCTCAGCTGTATCCCCTTGAGATGCAAATTTGTACTGCTTAAAAGCAACATCCTTCAACACTATACAGCAGTTTTGTTATAACTTTTGTTACTATTTTAACAGGTTAAAAAACAGATGCTGTTTCAAATATTGTAAAAATTTGCAAACAACTGTATACTATCAAAGCAATTCGATAGTATAATTTTGTAAATGGTATGTTTTACAGTCACACAATATTATTGGAAAAGGTAATGGGATACATTCGGAGGATGCACTTAAAAACCGCATTTTTACTTGATAGCGCAACAGAAAAATTTAAAAATTCCCCTCGAATAAATTCCACTAAAGGGATCCCAGGACCTAATGAAGGAGAAATATCACAATTGGATCAGGTGATGTGTTAAACTTTGGGCCAAGCGGTCTCCCAAGGCTCGTAACTGTTCTTATGTTTTTAAACAATGATGACATGAGAGAACATGCCAGATTGTTGAGGGGAAACCCTAAAAAAAATAAAAAAAATAAAAATAAAAACAGAACTTTGATGTGGAGCAGGTTGGTTGGTTCGAACAGTTGGCTCCTGGACAGGGAGCAGCGTCCTTGCCGAGCGAGTTAAAAGGTGCTGCGGTCAATCCTGTCCTGGTTGGACTTGGACCGGGCCTTCTCCTTCAAGAGCAGGATGTGCTCGGCCAGCTCCCGCACCGCCCCCTCGCCCGCCGGGTTCCGACATGTGTACTTCGCCGACTTGAGAGCGACCCCGAGGGCGTCCGGGGGCACCCCACTTATTCCCGCCAGATTCAGACACTTCACATCCGGCTCATCGTAACCTGGGAGACGGCGGAGTGGTGGGACCAATGGCAGTTAATACAGCACAGGCTACGTGCAACAGTAACGGACTCCTTAAAGGGGAACTGCAGTCCCCGTTTCTCAGGTTCATTAATTCTTGGCAACAAAATAAATTCATTGACGTTATAGAGCGATTTTACACATTTTGAATTAAGCACAAAATCGTCGTGAAAGTACTGTGAGTCACCATGTTGTCTCAGACTCGGATTCGAGTTGCCACGAATTGAAGCAGCCCTTCCTAATGTCATGTAATTCCTAATGTAGTGCCAAGTACGAGTGACTAATTACGGTGTCGCAGCAGACATTTCACAGCAAACATGCTCCAACGTGATCCGCACGCAGCGTTAACAAGTATTTGTCGGCAAAACTGTCTGAAAATTGAGAGCGGTATTTCTATTGGACTTAAAGAGATGTAAAGGAACAAGTCAAGGTTTCTTTCATGCAAAACAGAGAAGAAAAGAAACACAACATTTCAGCTGTGGATCCTTCTTCAGGTGTCAAAGAGTTAAAGAGATGTATTCATAAGCCTACTTTTTTACAGTATAATAAGGCCACAGCATGTCACCAGATGTTTGTTGCCTCTGTTTTGTTCTGAATCACAAAACATGACACTGCACATAGATGGAAATTGTCCATTTTGTGATGTAAATTGGAGGTTTTACATGTTACTGTATACGTTTTACTTGTATTGTATTTTGAAATGCACTCATCAATGCTGATTCTAACCCCTAATATAAAACTATCATTGCAGTTCCCCTTTAAGCTAAAGTGTCACAATCATCACATATGTTACTAGCATTTACAATTTGAATAGCATATACTATGTTCTAGGGTGAAAAAAACGTATTACCACATAGTATTATTATCACTGTTCAGTCTCTAATTGGCTACAGAAATCTTGTTGCTTGTTTTCAATATCATCACAGCTGTGCAATGATTTGAAAATGCACCGAAAACCTTCACAACACCTATCGTAAAAAAGTGTTTTGAAGCTGTTTGTTCTTGCAATGTCTTAACTCGGCTTCTACAGGGGTTCATACAACATATGATTGCTAAGGCAACATGTAGCACTTGGAGCAGAAAGCCTCCTCTTCATTTCACAATATCGGAAAATAAAAATTAGACACCGACAGAAATGCAAGAACAGAGGATTCATGGTGTTCCAGTTGTCTTTTTGCGGTGGACCCATCACGAGCCACTCTGAATGAAAGGCGCAGAAGCAGGGACTCACCAAGATAAGCTACCTCATTCCATGTCAGGTTCCTTTCCTTCATGAGGGATTCCACTAGCTTCAGCTTGTCCGGTTCATTCTGTTGAAGCAGGCAGCCCATCTTCCTGGCCATCAGTTTCTGAATGGGACAGTCACTGCAGGAGGTAAGCACCACCTGCAGCACAGTGGAAAGATGACAATATTTTATTATTGCCAAATGCTGTACTACCCTAGAGACACCACTAACCAAAATTTTATTACTGAATAAGTCATTTTTGCACTCTTTCTAAATATGGTTTAGAAATATAGTCTCACTGTATTATGACATTTAAGTTGTGCGTTAGGTGTCATTAGTTCTTTTTAAACAGATGGTGGGCAACCTTTGCAGCAAATAGTACTTAATTGTCCGTCTGTAGACGTTGTGGAGAGTTTAAAAAATCTGGGAACACATATTGATCACAGGCTGAGTTACACTAAGAAAACAGACAATATTTTTTAAGAAAGCAAATCAAAGGCTGTCTTTAATTCAAAGACTAAAGAACTTGAATGTCATTCGAAATGTCCCAGAGTTGGCATATCAAAGCCTTTTTGAGAGCATACTGGCATTTCATATAACAATTTGGTATGGAAACCTCGGGTTGAAATGTAAAACCAAACTGTCCAAGACTGAGAAAACAGCAGGAAAAATCATTGGGAAACAGCAGTCCCAGCAATTAGCAATTTATATAATGATACAGTTCTCAGAATAGTGAGAACCTCAGAACCTCACAGCTGATTCCACGGTATTCTCAACCCATAGCGCTCCCATCAGGGAGACAGTATAGGGTATCAGATTCACATAAAAACATAAGAAGTCCTTTGTCCTCTCTACAAAAAAACTGCTCAATGAATGTATGTAAATGTAGAACCTCCCACTACCTATTTATTCATCCATTTATTTATATATTACATACTGTTGTTCTGATTTCATGTATATTTATGTGATTTTATGTGACTTTCATGTTCTGCCATACGTGTTTTGTACTTTTATGCGAGAAGCCAAAGACAAGTTTCCACAGTAGTGGACAATAAAGTATTTATCTATTATCAATTTGTGTGTAAAACAATGAATACCTGATTAATGTTGTTTGTTCTGGAACAGCTAGAAAATCTGAATTAACTAATATCTGCATGAACAATGAAAGAAAAGGGACACTGTGTTTTCCCGAGGCACCTCAAACTTGTTTTCAGCAAGATGTTTTTGCCAAATTCTGTGCCTCTCTAGCGATGTCACTAACTTTAATTATTTTATAAAACATTTTTACAGCCTTACTCAACATGGTTTAGAATAACTGTTCAAGGAGGCAGAGTAAAAGAGCAGAGGTAGTTAAGGTAGTTAAGTCAGAATGTTTCAGAAATAAATTACATCTCCTTAACAAGCCATGGATAAAGAGAGAGTAACTAGGGCATTCAGGGAGGATTCAGACAATAGATTAGTCTAGTCTAGAGTCCCACTCTCATTGCCACAGCTATAAAAAATACTGGTAGAAAACTGCAGACTCTGGAAGGCCAGACAACAAATTAGTTACTTATTAACTTATTAACAGGATGTTACACTACTATGAAATCCAGGCAGTAAAAGATTGTAGACTTTCTCTGATCTGCTCTAAGCAATAACAACCTATGTCTTTTTTTTAAACCTGACTTTTAAATTGCTTTTATAGACTATCATAAACATGTTGCACAGTTAAGAAGATAAAAAAAGAATAAGCTACGGCTGCAGTGGCAATAGATTTCTAAGCTTTGCCTTCTTATTTTGATTGTATTATTAACTACAACTAGTCTGTTATTAATTATGAAATAATTAATATAATTAACACTCCACTTAAAGCACTTTACAGGTAATGGGGACTCCCCTCCACCACCACCAGTGTGCAGCCCCACCTGGATGATGTGACAGCAGCCATAGTGCACCAGAACACTCCCCACACATCAGCTATTAGTGTGGAGGACAATGGAGTGATGAAGCCAGTTCATCCATGTGGATTATTAGGAGGCAATGATTGGCAAAGGCCAGGGGGAAATTTGGTTAGGATGCCAGGGTAACACCCCTACTCTTTTCGAGAAACACCCTGGGATTTGTAATGACCACAGAGAGTCAGGACCTCTGTTTTATGTCTCATCTGAAAGGTGAGACAAAGCTTTTACAGTACAGTGTCCCCATCATTATAGAGGGGTATTAGGACCCACATAGACCACAAGGTGAGTGCCCCCTGCTGGCCCCACTGACACCTCTTCCAGCAGCAACGTTAGTTTTTCCCGGGAGGTCTCCCATCCAGTTACTGACCAGACTCACACCTGCTTAGCTTCAGTAGGCTACCAGCAGTGAGTTGCAGGGTGATATGGCTGCTGGCTATATCAGATACTAAGAACAACCCTAACAGGTGTACTGGTAGAATACAAAGAATGCAATAATGAATGTACATACCTCCACTCCCTGGTCCTGGAGCATTTTGATTCCCACACTGTCTTTGATATTAAAAGAAATCAGCTCTTCTCCATTGGCTGACAGGTACACCTGTCCGTTAGTCAGGCAGCCTTCAATATTACACACAAACAGCTTCACATGCTCTAACTTGTCCTTTCCAAAGTAGCCATACCTACAGGAAAGAGGAACAGAAGTCTGAATTATTGCTTATTCAAGGATGAAAGTAAAAGTATTTTGCGTAGATTGTGGTTCCGTTATATTGGGCACAGAAAGTGGTCGAAATGTACTTTGCAAAAGCTCCATTCAAGTCTGAATTTGCTTAGCTACAAATTTCTGTCATATACTGTAAGTCATGCTTGAGATTGTGTGTACAAATACATTTAATATTTGTATTCCTTATGTTACAGTGGTCGTAAAGATCCATTAAGGGTTTTATACAGTGTTTCAAATTAGGTTTAGCATTCTGAGGTTTCTGGGTCTGTCACCTCTAAAATGTATTTTTATCAACAGTATAACATTACACAATGTTTGTTATCTAACATTTTTTGTTTTATTGTTAATGTTGATAAATAGAGAATAAAGAACTCATGTGCCCCAAAACTATCCACCGCTCGGGTATATCTGCAACATTGGGGTTTTAATTTTTTTAATTTCTCGCTCACTATTTTCACTACTGCTTATCTGCCACTCTATCTTTGTTGGTACTTTTCCATCCCTTTTTATTTTTTGTACCTGACACAGCCACCCCAAGGAAGAAAATCGTATGCTTCCTGCTTTTTACAACAGAAAATGAAAAGTAACGAATGAAGTCCAGCATCTCGGAGCTAAGGGAATCTAGCTTCTGGTATACCTAGCCAACTAGTCATGTTCACAGGTGATACCTAGCTGCAAACACTTTAGAAGCTGCAAAGGGCATTTAAAAGGGTGTAAATCAAATTTATGGTGGGACAAATACAAAGCAAGGGACATGAAATGTCTTGATTTCATGGCATAGCTGAGTGAGCTCCTTGGATCAATTAATGACAAAAACGAACAAGTTGGACGGACTGAATGTGCTCCTCTTGTTTACAGATCTTCGTACGGTGACATTCATACTCATTCCAGCTATAATTCTTTTATTTATTTTAATAATTTATTGTTCTTAACCTGAGGACTCTTTGCTCTGCAACCGGCCAGTCAATATCCACATCAATATCCACGCTGTACTCTGGTAGCATTTCATAGTAGGACATCTTACCACCCTGAAATAAAACGGAATTTGCAAATGACTTTAGTTAACATACCGTATTCAAATCAATTTCTATTTTTAAGATCCAACACTCTCTAAAGATTGAAGATATTTATTTCCTGAACGTTGGGAAATTCATTCATTCTTTTCCCGTTTCATTAGCCTCAAACCACAATGCATCTACAAGCGAGGGGAGCTTTGGATCACCAGGTGTCCTCCGATGAAAAAGACATCCATCCTTAATGATGGGAGAGAAATGACTTTGGGTTACTGCAATTCACCTTAGAAATACCACCCATACAGCCTCATCTACCAAATCACATCAAACATGGTTAGCATGTACACTTAGACAGACCAATGAGGACCTGGGGAAATTCAATAGCTTAATTGCATGGCAATGAGAAATGAATAGATGCACTGATCATGGTTTGCCTCTGTTTTTAAAAGCATGTCAGTACCTGCAGGTACCCCTGTTCAACCAGCTCCCTGGTAGCGAAGTAGAAGGAGCCGTTCTCACACAGCTCTCCATCCCAGTCCTGCCGGCGCGGCCTCTTGGCTGGGTTCAAGTTCAGAGGCTTTGTGCACCTGTCTTCTGAAAAGTTCAAAGTGGGAATTTCACTCAGCTCCCAACACACACACACACACACACCTCAAGGACTGGTAGAAAAGCTTTCACCCACATGTTGTCTCTCCTCCTCCCCAACCCCCAGAGCTATTGCCAATTATTGGCAGCAGCTGACTTCTTCTGCTCTCGCTGACTTGAGTCACTGTAACGTCACTGAAATGAGACACTAGCAGGGTGGCAACCTCCGGGGCATGGCAAGATCTGCCTTTCCACACTCTGAAAATACTTGAGATGGCGATCTGCCAGAAGGCGCTACTGAGCGCCAACGCTTCAGAGCAGACTCGATTGAGCCTCGATTCAAGCATTACCATCCATGTGCGTCGATCTTGTTGTGCAGTTAAAACTGCTGGGGCTGCATGAGGAGCACCTGACGACTCTAGCACTCTGCATCTGAAGCCAAATCACCAGTTGTCACTGCTTATACAGCTGACGTGCCTCATATGACCACCCGTGTCTGAATCGTGCTCCAGTGCAGAAATTCCTAGTGCCCGGCCGAGAGTACCTCCTTTCCTGACCTCCTGCCAGCGGAAGTGGTGGCGCCTCACCACAGAGAAGACGGACTCGTAGCCCTCCTCCGTGATCATCTCCACGGCCTTCTTCAGGTGGAAGGGGTGTAGACATGGGGAGGTGGCCTGGATGTTGCCAACAATATCTACCTCTGCAACAAACAGGCAAGTCACACAAGCTTTTATATATCTCCCTGGGTCACGCCACTGCATCTCAGCCCAGTTCCTAACACTTATACCTCATGCTTTTTTTCTAAAATAATTTTAACATCCTAAAAAAAAAAAAGGTTGACTACTACATTAGGATTATTTGGAGAAATTCTCTACAAGCAATGCTTTTCTTTCTAACAACTGGCATTCCCCCTGAAGGGTATTCCAGTCTTATTTTTTACTAACAAGACTGAAGAGAGAGCTTCGACGAGGTTACAGCCTGCATTTTGGATCTTTAAATCTAAAAGGATGAGAATGTCAACGAGCTGCGAATTTACTAGGGAAGAAACGGAACTGAAAGTGAAAAGGAGGCCGATGGGGTTGGGGAGTTGGGACCGCCGTACCTGGGTTGAGTCTCAAGAACTCCTGGATGGTCTCTAAGGAGCTCGAGGAGTCTTTGGACACCTCGGGGCTCCTGCGGCGAACTTGCGCCCCAAAGGTCTTGGCAACCTTCTCGATCTCGTCATGGTCCGTAGAAACCCACACGCTGGTTAACAGAACAGATAAAAACAATAATGCCCAGGCATACTAGCCGAAATCACTGGCGGAACTTCAGACAGCTTATTGCATTTTAAACAGATACGGAAATATAAGTAAAAAGAAAGTCAACTGCAAGGATCTTATTGCACCCCGAACACCTTCAAGAGGCATAAGAGGCTGCAGTATTTGCAGCGGGTCTAGTGAATCCGCTGCATTTGCTCCATTTTCTTTTTTTTATAACGCCCGAGAGCCACAGGTTCGTGAAGATGTATTTATATTTAACCCCCTTCGCTCACATGTATGGACCGATGTCGGCTGGGTCGTAAAGGAGCCCCTACCTGTCAAACATCTCGGAGTCAATGGCCGCCCTCAGCACCCACCCGATTAACGGGACGCCGGCTAGCATCTTGATATTCTTCAACGGGATGCCCTTACTGCCCCCCCTCGCTAGGATCAGGGCCGCGAAGTGCCTCTTCCTACCGGGCTCCTCTTTCTTTTTCTTCGCCAGGGGGTTGCGCCCGTCCTCCGTTTTGGGGGCGCTGCCGGCCCCCGGTTTCTCTTTGGGATCTCCGCCGGGGCAGCTGAGCTTGTGTTTACGGGACGCGGCGGCACCGGAGCTCGCCCCGGCAGAGCCATTGAACTCCTCCGCAGGCGGATCCATGCTTTGCCGCAGCTACGTGCCGTGCGCGGAACCGCCAACCTGGAAATCCTGCAGGAAGAGGCAAAACTGTCACTATATAGTCGTTTTCGAGGGGCGGCCCCGGCTCAAACAAAACAATGTCATGCAATCCCGTCAGGCTGAAAAATTGGAAACGCTACTTCCTAGGCATGTGTCGCCACTACCGTAAAATCAGGACTATAAGCTCATTAAACATTCATTTCTAGACTCGCTCCTCGAAAACACCGTACTCGCATCATAATTTATCAGACCCGATTCTCACCACGATTAAAAATTAGGTTACGCTAGGGCACCATTCAATCAATTCATTCGGCTTTAGAAATACTGCACATCGGTATGGTATCGCACACTACAATGAAGCTTCAGCAAAGTATTGCGACACTTTTCTACGTCGTACGGTAGCGACAAGAAACGTGACGTGTCGCAAAGTCCTTATTTGAATATTGTATTATTTCCCATCGCCCTTTGCTTTTGATCGGACTGCTATTTCATAAAAATAAAGCTACACGTTGCACACAAAAATACAAGACATACATAAAACCTTGTTTCATACCAACATACGTTTCTGAGCTTCGTGCGTGTGATTTGTAAACACGAGTGAAAATAACACTCCCTCCGCTCGTGCAAGACTCAATAAAATGACAAACTACGCGGTTAAGAAATTAAGTTGTGTTTTACCTCACTGCACCGTCTCTTCCTTTCTGGATGGCGACCAGGTAGGTCTGAAATAACAGGTTTTAAACACTTGTTTTGTATAACGAACGTTGTAAATATTTTTTTCGGCATAAATGTTCAAGTCACGTTAGAAAAAGGTTTGGAATTGGCGATTTGAACTACCAGCCGCGTCCGACTGACACACTGCCACTGTAAGGGGGTTTATACTAGAGCCCCCCTTCTGTCCGTTTTTTATATATTCTCAAGCGTTTCCCCTATGGAAAAAGAACTTGATTTCTCCAACACATGGAGACTGCAGACAGCAAAGGAACAAAAGTGAAGGTTTATTACCATTTTTCTTCCCGTTTCCCTCAGGAACCTGTAGGCGGTCCCATAATCGAAAAGCCATCTGTTCTTTCAGCGAAGAAAACACCTGTAACTACTTATCGCAATAACTCCAAATAACAAAGTCATCACTATCTAACAACACCACTACTGGGACCTATGAAATACTGCAAACCCGATCATTGAAATACACTCTAGTATTCAACCTACACTTAAAACATTGATCTTAAGATTCATCTATTTTTTAACAATGTTATCAGTCTCCTTAGAGACTGTCAAAAATTGCCAATGCCGACTATATTTCAAGTCGTCACGGCGGGGTATTGGGAAAAGTTTTCAACTAGCAATAATCGCGCCTCGGATAAACCTCATAGGCTACGATACTGCCACTGCGCAAAGCTGACACCATGCTCCTTCCGAGAGGGTACCCACCTCTGTAACATACTCTGCTGGATATGGTAGTATGATATCGCCGGCATCTTAGATTACAGTTCTGACACAGAAATACCATTAGAGTATTATTTTACTTTTGGTACTTCAGTCTATTTATATATTTACCGTGCAACCGTTTTCATTTTCAGAAAATAGTCAGCGAAGTGTATAAAATAAATTCGCTAGGCATGCTGGGATGCAAAACCAGTTTATTACGTCACGCAGCGAACAGCCGCCTGGAAACGTAACCCGGAGGAAAGTGTTTTAAAAGTGGATTAAGCACAATTTTAAGCGATTACAAAAGGCTGTTTAAACGCATCTGTACGTGGTGGAAAACCGATCGGCTTCAGTCATCCCTTATATAAAATTAGCTAGCGAGGATATTTTTTATTGCATAAATACAACGGGTGATAGGTAAATTAGATAATTTGAAGTGTATTAAGACAAAAGTGAACTTTTCTCGTTGTGTTATGTCTTCTTTTTATAATCGATTATTGTGTAAAATACTGATTATCGTTCTTCGCTAAATAAAGCGAAAATGGTTACCTACTACGAATAAAATCTGAATTAAGTGATTATCCCCGTGAACTCCATCTCCCCCCTGCTTTCGATAATCGGACATAAGTGCAATACGATATTAACGTTGAGACAATAATTGGCGTTTTAATTATAACAGAGCAGAAGATGATCAGAGCACATCATCTTTACCTTTTTTGTACAGTACCTTGTTTTATTGCGGCATTTGCGCATACTGTATACATCGAATTATTAATTGCAATAAATGAAGATTTTTATCAGAAGCCGATACAAATTCTGACTCTGTAAGACAAAATATATAAACCTTTGAAAATAAATTTTAAATTAGGAGTTGTAGTTCGTAAAAAGAACGAATCTCCAGTCTCCGCCGCAATCAGTTCCTGAATTCCTGCAATCAGAAACCTGACCTTTATATACACACTAAACCTGCTTTTTTCCCCGACAGACGAGTGTGAAAATTGATCAGTCTAAATTAGTCTTTCCTACACTTCTTGAACCCCTCCATGCTTACACTCCCCCACGCAGGGTCAGTTCAGTCGAGGCCGGTCCGCCGGTCACTGTCCCCTGGACTAAATCACGGACTTCTGGTCACTGTGCCTCTGTCTGTCGCTGCTGCTCCAGTGTTGTGCGAAGACCTTCCTCAGACTACGAGAGACAACTTCCGTAACTCTCTTTAAATCTAAACTTAAAACTTAGCTTTGTACAAAGTTCTATGATTGCTTACAGTCATTCTGTAAATATCCGTATGCTCGTTTTTGTTTTTACTTTTATTGTACTTTTTTTTGTTTTTTCTTTATTCATGATGTACATTCGCGATGCGTCCTTGGGATTGGAAAGGCGCTTTATTAATAAAATAATTACTATTATTCCTTACACTTACATAGCGCTTGTCTGGGCATTCAAAGCGCTTTACACATAATGGAGACTTCCCTCCTCTACCGCCAATGTGCAGAACCCACCTGGATGATGCGACGGCAGCCAAAGTGCGCCAGTGCGCTCCAGCTCTCAGTGGGGAGGAGAGCAGAGTGATGAAGCCAGTTCAGAGATCGGAATTATTAGGACGCCATAACTGGTAAAGGCCAGGGTGAAATTTGGCTGGCACATGGGGTTAACACCTTACTCTTTTCGAGAAACACCCAGGGATTTCTAATGACCACAGAGCGTCAGGACCTCGCTATCATCCAAAGGATGACGCCTTTTTACAGTATAGTGTCGCCCTCACTATATTTGGGCATTGGGACCCGCACAGATCACAGGGTGAGAGGAGAAAGTGTTGCAGGTTTGAGTAAATCGAAAAACGATGGACTTACAGCAGGTAAAATCAAAGTAAACCGGAACGGTCTCTCCTTTGTCAGTTTTCCGAGATTTCTGGGGATACGTAACGCTGTCACGTTGCAAGGCAGGAAAATTCCTCTGAGGTATAATCCTTCCTACAGCTGCCACTAGATGGAAGTATGACCCTATAGAATTTAGCTTGGTTCTGGAAAAAAAGCCAAATTCTTGGAAATCTGTCATGTATCTGTATCAATGTGTAGCAAACGCACTTCATTCCATATATCAGCCTTCGTGCCACTGTTAAGTAGTAAGTATAGCAAGTTTATACTTTCCAACTACGATATACTAATTCACGGCATCTTACCAGCCCAGATAGAAAATCGAATTATCTTCCAACTAAATTCCAGCCAGCATCTCTCTTGTACTGTAGCAAAATTTCAATTTAGATTCCTTCTTAATCTCTTTAATTTTTGTGACTTTACTGTAATTGCACAGTGTGGTGAAAGAGTGGTATGACGTCTGGAAGGGAGCATTTAGGGTTTAAATCTCAGCTGAGACGCTGATATTGTACTCATGAACAAGGTACGCCCCTTGAATTACTCCAGTAAATACAAAAATTGACACAACTCTTCCAGCAATCACTCAGTCCAGGTGGCCTCCTAATAATTCCCTTCTGTAAATTGGCTTCAGCACTCTGTTCTCCTTCCCACTGATAGCTGATGTGTGGTGAGCGTACTGGTGCACTATGGCTGCTGTTCCATCATCCAGGTGGGGCTGCACACTGGTGGTGGTGGAGGAGAGTCCCCATTACCTGTAAAGCGCTTTGAGTGGACTGTCCAGAAAAGCGCTATGTACTGTAAGTATAAGGAATTATTATTATGAACTAGAGAATTGCCAAAGTACTGCTCGTTCACACTGTAACAAGGATGACAAAACTGAACCAAGTCATTAAAAAACAATAAGTTTGACTTCTTTTACATGTAAGGTTATAGAAACAGTTGTTAGAACTAAACTAGAGGATAATCAGTATGGAAATTAGATACTAAGAAATAGTCAGCATTTACTGTAGTTTGAAAAAGTGGGTTTTGCCTAGCCTGTACTAAATGAATATTTCACTCAGATGTTTCCAAAGGAAAAAAAGACATGGCTCAGAGTGAGCCAACACCGAGGACTATGTTGGATGATGTTAACATATAGGAGACAGAAGTGTTATGTGTTACAGGAGCACATAAAATGAACAAAATCTCCAAGGTACAATGGTATCTTACCAGACCATATGTCAATCCTTAAGTATATCAGATAAGTGGGTTAATATGTTAACGCTATGTTAAGAGGTGTTACGCAGAAGTTATTGACGCAGCTCTCCCAGCACTCTCTCAAGTCAGGAAGGAGTAACACCTACTGATAGAAGGACTGCTAATATAGCACTCACCCATTACGATTACACGGAAGATCATTGAAACAATTAGTAGAAATAAATTAGAAGATCACCTATATGGAAATCAGATACTAGAGAATAGTCAGCATAGATTTAGAAAAGATACAGTAGGTCTTGCCTCAACACATTTTGTAGAGTTCTTTTGCACGAGCAACAACAGTAATGAATACACAGATCATAATAAGATAAGGTCACTTTATTGCCATTTACAATTTCTTGCATTAGGAATTTGTCTTTTCACATACCCCAGCTTGCTCTCCATGAGACACACAGACAGAGAGAAGCTTGGGGTCAGAGCACAGGGTCCGCCATTTACACAATACCCCTGGACCAGTTGGGGTTAAGGGCCTTGCTCAGGGGCCCAACAGAGTAGGATTCCTCTGCCAGCTGCAGGATTTGAACCAGCAACCTTCAACCACAGATGCAGATCCTTTGCCGCAGAGCCACTGATCTGCTCCACCCACCATCTGATATGGTGTATTTAAATTTTCAGAAGGTTTTTAAAAATGTAGTTAGCAAGCAGGGAAATGTAGTTTGGATTGTGAATTGGTTAATAACAAGAGAGTGAATTTTAAGATTGGGGTGCCAAAATGGATCTACTGTATACTAGGACCACTGCTCTTCCTTATTTATATCAATGATCTAGATGCTGGTACAGTATATTAAGCAAACTAGTCAAATTTTGCAGGTCATACCAAATCCGTAGGACTGTCAAACAATGTAGAACCAGCAAATGAAATTCAAAAAGATTTTTATACAATTGAAGACTGGACAAACACCTAGCAGATGATGTTTAATGCAGACAAGAGCAGGGTTTTGCATGCAGGCAGGTAATGCATGAATCCAGTTAAAAAGGCAAACTAAATGTTAGGATACATACTGTAGTTAAATGTAAATTAAGGGATGTTTTATCCAAATTGTATAACACAATAGTAAGTCCTAATAGAATATTGGTCACCATAGTATAGAAATACATTACTGCTCTGGAATCCAGAGAGGAGCAGCTAGATGCAGTCTGATGGACCTGAAACTCTTTTGACTTAAACAAAGATTGCAAAAGTATTTGATACAAGAATTAAAAAATTCTCAAGGGCACTGACAAAATCATCCATATAAAATACAAAGCAAGATATAAGTGAAATCTGCTAGGAAGTGCATTTAAAACTGTTAACAGTTGATCATTGTGTATTCTCGTTGTGCATGTGTTGTGTATTTTTTATTGTTGTTGTCATTCTGTAAAGCACTTTGAGAAGCCATCTTTAAAGGTGCTATATGAAATTAAGTTTATTATTATTATGGGAGGCATTTTATTTGTTTTGTCACTACTAACAAACAGGCTGGATAGGTGGAATGGCCTGCTGATTTTTGTAACTGTTCTTATGTTCTTGAATGGAAATGAACATGGAACACAGAAAAGAACAGTAGTTTCTAAATATTTAGCCATTTCTACTACAGTCCTCATTTCATTGAATATTTTATTGTTTTTGTAAGGTATTGATCCTTGTGTCAAACCATTTCTCAATGTGGCTTCATAATAAATTGTAAAGAATGAATCTCAGCTCCCAGGAGATAGAAAATGCATGGGTCTATTTGGCATCATCCATATCCTATTAAATTGACTAAAGACTTCACAGCTGTGTCAGTTTTACTATCGTCTGCGTAATTCACACAGCAGTACAGAGCATCTTCTATGAGAACCAGCTGCAGCTACTGCACAAAGTTCTTCTACAGGTCATGGGAAATGTTCATTATGTTTTCATTATGTAATACTGCAAATATAGTGCATGCGAAAGCACTTTGAGCCAGCTGGAAATCACACAAGTGTTAAGCAAGATTTTTTTTTCACCAGCAGTCTTCAGCAGCTCTGTTGTAAAGTCTTAATTGGATGAATCAAAGCTGGACTTACCACGTTATTGAAGTTTCATTTTGTTTTTATGCAGGAAACATACAGCATTTTGCATAAATAAAACAACGTTGCTTTTGCGGAACTAATCCCAACTCATGGGAACTAATGCAATACACTGATAGGACCAATTTCAAAGCTTTTGTTCCTTCAGACAAGTGCCAAGTTTAACTTAATCAAACTACAACTACAAATGAACCTCACCATTTGTTTTCAACGTTGCTAAAAAAACCTTCATGATCCGTGTTTGTTAGTTTATAGATGTTAACCTTTGAAGTTTTACTGATTGAACCAAAAATGCCAGTTTTAATCTAGTGAAAACAAATGCCTCAGAAAATCATGGAAAAGGAAATGCTCCAATAACTAATGCATTTGAATAATATATCATTTATGTTTACATACTTTTGTTAAATAAATGTCTTTTCAAATTATTTATTTGATTTTGGGGAGGTCTGTGAGTTAGGAAATTGCTATTGATAGCACATTTTAAGTACTGTGAAAATTTACTGCATAAACAATTTACTGCAAAATATATCAATTTTATAGATATATCCTTTTATATAAAATGCTGCAGTGAATTGTGCACAAAATAATCAGGTATGAATTTATTGCTCAATAAATGTAAGTAAATTGCCCTACAAGAAAGCCCTACATAGTCTTCAAGGAGACTTATGGCTGTATGGGAAGAGAACACAGTGTATTAGCTCTGAATAATGTTTAACTAGAACTATTTTCTTTTATAAACTTCAACAATATTCAGAACTACTGTGTTCTTGTGCAATCCAGTAACTGTTATGATGGGTTTGGGTACATCTGTAAAGTTGCAGCTCCAAAAATTTTCCATTTTTCCTGAAGTACCTTGTAGTTGTAGTTGAATTTCTTTGTTGAGATTAAACTGCTTTCCTATTTGCAGTGCAGGTAATTTGCAGTACAGGTAACACATCCAAAAATATTTATTGTTTCCAATTTGTCTACATGTTATGTATAGAAAGTGGGCAATGTGATTTATAAGGTCTGTATTAACCCAGATGTTAACAAAAGGTAAAAGACAAGTAAAACCTAATGTTCTTTACTGTTTTTCAGTGAAGAAAAATGCATTCTATTATCTCATCACATGTTATTACAGATATTAACATGTTTACAAGTATAGGAAAACATTTATTGCAGTATACAGCAATTTATCTCATTGTATGATTCAAGTTTTCAATGTTGCATTAAATAGATAAAATATCAATTTCTTTCAAAAAGATAACTCATAACATATGGTTCTTGGCATTTCTTACAACAACAAAGTATATTTTTATCATTGTGGATATTTAGTTGTTTAAACAATGCTTTTTAGAAAGAAATAACATTTTTCACTTGTGTGACTTGCTACACTATGCTACAAAAGTAGTTGTTAATTATGTTGTAGGAAAACAACAGTAGAAATACTATATACTGTATACCTCAGAAACAAAACCATTGCATAGTAAAATAAATTTGTTTTTACGATAAATCTGTGGATTTTGTATTACATATTTCAGAATGGTGTTAGTGTAAGAATACTTGCAAAAATAAAAAATAAAAAATATTCACATATGTAACTCTTTAATTACAAGACAAATACATACTGTACCTTGACCTTTAAAGGGGCTAGTTTCACCTCCTGCACTATTTAAAGGCATTTTTTGATGTTTTAAGCTCAAGAATGATTGATTATAACACTCATCATATTTTAATGTTGTTAGAGTACTTTTCTAGTATGTATTTGGTATGTTTTCTAGTATGTGCAATATTAGTCTAGATTTCAAGCTCCTCAAATGGATGTGCTAAGGTGACAATGATTAAAACATTGGTCTCTCTCAAAATAAATAATTTAAATTATAAAATGGTACTTCAGTCACATACATATACACCACACCTCAAATACTTAAGAATACATGATTTGCTGAGTGAATTGGGTTGTGATTTGGCTAATGCTTTTCTTATCATCACTATTTCCAATAGGACTAGGGGCTGCTAACATGTAAAGCTTCAAATTTAACAGGAAAGCACAGAATGGGAAAACATATTAATGAATGTTTTCTGCTATTTATGTAGTTTTATAAATTAAGCTGCACTTAAAGGTTGGAAGTGAAGCAAATCTTGTACTACATTAAAAAAGAAAGACAAAAGAAAAGTCATTTTTAAAATGTTCTTCTGAAGCCATTTGTGGTATGATATAGAAATTTAATGAGAAATCAAGTCATAATAGCAGTCCACCATGTCCCCCTTTTCCCTTTTTTAATAAAATCATACATAAACGTGTTATTGTGAATCGTGTTATTGTGAAAGTTTTGAACAGTGGATTAAACTTTCCATTTCCAATGATCTGTTAGATGCCACATATTTCTGATTCTTACGAAAACTAGCAAGAGAGATTTACTTCATGTTTCTATACAGCGTGTTGCATCTGAACACAATCCACAAAGCAGTGTTTAAATAATCATATTTAAATTAATTAAGGCACACAAGTAATCATTCTGTGAGAAAGCGTAACACACAGTGAGGACACAACCCCCTCCTAATGCCATGCAGATGTTTTGAGGTAACCCAAGAGTTCTGAGGAAGCAGCAGCTGATGAGTGAGGCCCAGGCAGTGTGTCATGTCTCAGACGTGTTCTGACTGCCCTCTGGTGTTAGAAACTGCACCTTGGGGATCATCAGGGAGGAGTTGTTCCGGCGCATGGAGTTGTTCCGTCTCATGGAGTTGTTGCGGCGCATGGAGTTCCTCTTCCGAAGGGAGTTCTGGTGCGAAAGCTCGCTCTTCTGCAGGGTCTGGATGAGAATGGAGGGCTTCTCGTCCAGCTCCCTGGCGCTGCAGCGCGGCGTCGCCACTTTGGTGGTGTTCCCGAACTTGGAATAGTCCACCGAGTACACCCCTTCCTCCTCGGTCACGATGGGCACGAAACGGTGGCCCCACAGGATCTCTTCCGACACGTAGGACGTTCTGGCCTGCGTGGTGATGCCCGTGGTTTCCACCACCCCTTCCAGGATGACAATGACCTCCAGGTCGCTGCTCTGCAGGTCCCCAGCGGAGAGGTCATAGAACGGGCTGGTTTTGTCGATGACGTGGCAGATGATGAGGGGAGCCAGGAGGAAGATGCTGTTGCTCTTGATGGGGCTCTCGGTCTGAATGTCGATCTGGTGGATGGGGATGACCTCCCCCTCGGGCGTGGTGGTCTTCTTCACCACCTGCAGACGGACCGCCGCGCCAATGATCATGCTCTTGCGCAAGTCCCCCACGCGTAACATGAAGCACAGCCTGTTGTTCCTCACGACCACGACGGCGTGGCGGCTGAAGATGAGCGTCTCGGCGCGGCGGTGGGACTGCGCCGTCTTCATGAAGATGCAACCCAGCATGATGGCGTTGATGATCAGACTGGCAATGTTCTGCACTATCAGCACAGTGATGGCTATGGGGCACTGTTCGGTTATCATACGGCCCCCAAACCCAATGGTCACCTGCACTTCAATGGAAAACAAGAAGGCCGACGTGAAAGACCTGCAGAGAAGCAGAGAAAGGGAAATGACTGAACAGTGCATGCTGGGAAGAGTGACTGGAGATGATGTTTTCTTAACAAATACCCCCCCCCCCCCAAA